TCAAATAAACACTACTTTCCAAAGAAAAAAAAAAAGAAGAAAAATGACCATGTGAAAAGAACACAGTTGAAAAATGTCTGCCTTTGATCACTGCCTGATGAGAAATGATGGTTCGGTAGAAGCAAATAGAGGGAATCACTTGCGTCAGGAGGGTGTATTGCACTCCTATTTGTGGAAAGTTGTCGCATGATGATTCACATGCAAGACGCAGTTGAAACATATTAATCGCAGAGTGTATGGGAGATCAAAGCTTGGGGAATGCAAACAAAAAATTTCATATAGAGGGCAGCAACTGAACAAGAATAGCCATACATGTGAGAGGAGGTAATGTATTGTATCGGAAATATAATAACACTAAATTTTACAGTAGTGAAATTCCAATTTTAATGATTACAAAATATTTATGGTACCAATTCATCATCACGTAACAGTCATAATCAATAAAGCAGCCTGAAATTCAGAAAATATTACAGATTCATAATGGTGAGAACAAGGTTTTTAGTAAAATCACATGGATAAAATACTAATATGGATAAAGAGGGATTCCTGGTTATTTATTTAGTATTGGCTTTGACGACTTTTATTAATAGTGCTTTAGCCAATTTTCTTTTGTAAAAGTTGTTGTCATTATATTTTTGAACTAATCAGTAGGTTCCTGAGCAAAAAAATATGAAGCCACCCTTTATTTTTCAATAAATCAATTTCCCTCTTAAATTCCTGTGAAGTGTTAACTTCCACTATTGTCAACAATAACTAATTACATAAGAAAATCATCCTACTAGAAAAATATAGCTGTCTTAACTACAGCCTGGCCTGTCTTTTGCAAAGAAAATGATAAAATGTAATTATGTAACAACTTCCACCAGAAGAGCTGTTAAAATTTCTACAATAATAAGTGATCTTAACCTATCCTTAAAAGATGACCCTTCCATTAATAAAATTATCAATGAAGCCCTCTTCTGAACTTTTGCCAATAAGTAGTCCACAGTATTCCAAGTGAAGACTAAGTAGTGATATTTAAAGAGATAATTACCTCTTTAGATTTGTAATTAAAATGTCTATAAATAAACCCTAAAATTCTATCAACATTGCCTCAATAGCTCGAGTGACTTATCCACAACTATGCCACAAATGGAAGGTTCTACTTGAGTTATATTACTGAGCGAGTTCCCATTTATATTAAACCCTTGCATTTCCTATAATTAAAGATAATTTACCAAACATTTCTCCAACTTACCAATTCATCCAAATTATACTGTAATATTTCAATATCCTCAATACAGCTAGAAAACCCATAAGTTTAATGTCATTGGCAAATTTCACTAACAATTTATGCTTCAAGCAATATCATTAATGTAAATAAGAGAAAGCAATGGCCACAGCACTGACCCCTAAGGCACTCCATTACTATCAAGGGCCTAGTCTGATTGGACTCTTACAGTTGGGTTATTAACTTGATATAGTCAATTACCTACGAGCATCAATTAGTGTCATGTAAAACAATTAATTTAAATTATGATTTAATCAATTATTGTTATGAACATAAACAAAAAATCAAAATTAGTATTTCCAATTATTACTCTTTTCAGTTATTCCAACTACCAAATTTCATGTTAGATTAATCAATTAGCTGAATATAATAGATTAATGAGTGTGACAATTAATCATTTATCAAATTCCACTAATCACTCAGCTTTACTAGACTCCATTAATTACAACTTTTTGCTTTCACATATCAAATCACCCTACATTCAATTAATTAATCTTTCCATAATATGTAACAACTTCCACCAGAAGAGCTGTTAAATTTCTAAAATAATAATTATAAGTAATAATAGATTTTAGTTTTAGATATAATATGAAGAAACACAAAAGTTATTTTAAATACCTAAAAGACATATTGAAAATATTGATAAAATTCATAAACCCAACACTTTTTATGAATTCTAATTACAGATGATGATTCAGAACTGTGAGGACTTAAGCTACTCATATCTTTTATAATTCAACCAAATAGTTTTGTCTACATGCAACTTGTAACCTAAACTTCAATGACAGTAAATACTTGGTTGGTATATTCTGTACATCAAAGATGTTAATATGCAAAATAAAATGTAGAGTTCATCTAGCATAATAGTTAATATATAGTAGTAGAAGTTAACACAAAATTTTAAAATATTTCATTTATATTTAAGTTCAAAATGTTTTATTATAAATCTAATATCACACTAAAAATAAGAAAAATAACTCCACACACACACACACACACACATTTTTATCATGCAAATTAAGTTCATTATTCAGAGCAGGTTAAATTAGAAACAAAAATATACAACTGTTCTTAAATTATAATTATATGGCCATAATAATTACACCACATCTATTTTGAAAGTACAACAAACCACAAAAAATTTCCATAAAAAATACTTCACAAATAATGAAAAACAATTTAAAAAAGAACAGAAGTTAAAACAAGAAAAATCCACATATTCCAAATTGGGGAAAGCACAATTTAACAGTTACAATGAATTTGTAAAAGAAAATAACAAGTTTGTTTGGACAAAGTATTTCCTTTACCCTAAAATGTTTACCTACACCTGAAACTGTCAATCACAGAAAAAACAAAAATAGAATAAACATGGCAGACATAACGATTTGGTGTACAGTGGTAACATACTCCACAAAATTCCTGGGACGCTACTATATACATGATATATGGTATTTAATTACCCTGGAAACATACACTTTCTTTCCCAGTTAATTATTATTCACGATTAGAAAGTTAAAAAAAAAAGATGTATGTATAAAATATTTACAGTCAAAACACTGTAAATTATATTAGATTAATATGTAAAAAATAAAAAATTGCTAACGTTCATCCCCCCAACACATACACAAAAGAATATTATATGCTTAATTTTCTTGTCAATCTTTTCTCATTTTAGCGGCCCCTCTCGATCATTGCAGTAAAACCCATGTCATTGTCGCTTTCAGATACTCTTCCAAGACTTAAGGACACATGGTAATCTACAAACAACAACAATAATAATAATAAAACTGAAGTAAGGACGTGCCTCGAACTCAACTTGACTTTTAAATCATACCAACCACAGTCACAAACGTAATTTGTATGATAAATGCTGTCATAGTTAGCCTGCGACCGGAAAAACTGTCATTTCCTTCCATCCTCCGTCATCATGAATCAATCTTCCTAATTATGGTTCATCGGTACCAATAAAGGTGCAATATAAGAGCTAATAGATAAAGCAATCACCGTCGAGAAGCAGTACCGTTCTGAAAGAATTCTATAAATTTATAAGTCTGAACAAAATTTATTTTCCATTATGCATAAGCCTATACATTTAAGTATTTAGTGAAAACTGCGCAAATCTAGTATCCGGTTTTGTTGTTGTTTGTACGTTAAATTGCTATTTTTGCCGGTGATTTAGTATCGAATAAAATCACAAATTACCATGAATATGAACTGAACTATATAAATCAACACCATTCACCACTAGTAACATCAAATATGTATTATCGTTAATAATAATAATATTGATCTTTAAAGTTTAAGCGTAAGCGAGTTATAGGTTTTAAAATACGGAAGTAAAAATTATGTATTCAGTTATTAAAACGTATCTGTGTATTTATTATCACAACGTTGTTGTTAAGTTTTCCAGATTTTAAGGTTTCCTTTATGACAAAAATAAATTCTGAATGAAAAAATGCAGTATGATTATATATTTATTTACTATCAAATAAATAGTTTACAATACGGGACAAAACAACGCTTTCACATAATATATAACACTATTTCTTCATATAAAAATACGCGCAATTATCTTTCTTTTGTTTATCACACCTCTACAAGTTTCAAAAAATTGCATACAGCTGTTGGTAACTGGAAACAACACAACAAATGTTGCAAGTGACAAATTTAGGCTTATAAAATTACTAATACTTTGTAATGTCAGTATAATGTTATTTTTCTCATTGTTCAGTTGTAAAGACCGAATTACAAATGATAACGATTTTCAGAGTGTATGTAAATAAACGCATTCAGAAGTTACACTCACTCACGTTTCAAATAATAAAAATAAATATGAAACGCGAACAAAATACCCCAATTGGTTATGGTACAGTATTTTTTACTAGATATTAATACATGATTTAAACACTAAAACAAGTGGCCTATTTAAAATAATGCATCTTTATTTATAATAAAATTATTAGTTTATCTACAAAAATAATTTGATTTTAAAATGCATTAATATATATGCATAAACAAACACAAAAACTGAAAATTAGCGTTGACAGCCAGCCTACATGAACAACAGCAACAATGTGCTCACAATACTCTGAATGTTTAAATAGTTAATGTTAATCTGCCTGCGGCGGTGTCCTTCACTGGAACCGTGAGCAAGCTTTCAGCATTAAAATATATTTCTCGTATACAGACTTCACAAAAGTTCGAACTAAACACCTAATGACATAACGCGCAAGTCATTCACATATATTCCACACTTGGCGGAAACGCTGTCGAACCTCACGGGTCGTCAAAGGACAAGTTCCTATCTTAATAAATACTAAGTGTAATAGCAGATATTGGCTGGAGGTGAATCTTGCAAACACACTCGCTTTTCTATTCAACATGGCGTCCAACTAATGAACAATTTCCACACGAAAATCCGACGCCTGGATGGAGGAATATATAGTAATACCCTGGCAGTAGGCTTAGCCTATACTCGTTCGACTACTAGTACAACTAGATATTTTGTCTACCATACAATTATTATGATTAATTCTACGTGGCTTGCACTCGGCACAAAGGTTACATAATGTGTACATAAGTTAACTTTCATTTGTCAGTCAAAAATACATTTAAAGAAGTTGTTAATTTCCCACAATATAAAACATCATGGACAGCTCTAGGAGTCGGACAAAGCGTAATCATTCCCTAACATATACAACTTCGGGAAGAAGGCTTTAACATTACTTACCCGAGTGCTTTTCACCAAGTCGTTATACGAAAACTCCGGACATGTTTTGTCGTTAGATTCCTCAAGCGTGAGACTAAAACGATACGTTGGGAACAATTCTTTAGGCTTATTGTCTTTCGTAAGTGTTCCAACTGTTTCAAATGCAATCCTTCGGGGTTCTGCCATTCTTAGTCTTCATCTGGAATAGGTAGTTAGGGAATTTTCCCTTTAATTTTATGTTTTCACAATTCAAAATCTACACGATTTCAGCGCCATTCTACTCTGACACCGGCTGAACTGCACATGCTCGGCACCCTTAACCAAAGTGTTGTGGGAAGCATCGTGAGCTTTCGCGCGGAAAATAAAATCCACGTGCTTTTCAGAAGTACTGTTATTAAGTTTGTATGATTATTTTGACTTGGAAATATTTAAAGATCGTATCAAACATACAGATTCATACTGCGTACTGTACAAATAAAATAAAAGTAAGCTAAACTTGTAAATGAGAATAATACAACCAACTTAGTTATGATCAACGAGATCTACATCAAGCATGATCATTGCGCAACAAAGGTTTATATGGATACCTTTCCAAAATATTAGAAATATTATAGAATATTAGAGAAGTATGATAATACGACAACAGATTTTCATTTAGAGTAGTCTGTTTCCGTCACTGTTGTCATAAGTTATTTAATGAAATATGTACGTTGCTATGCCATTATAATACATCTATCAGTGACACTCGCATTCATGTGTGATGTCTATCTTGTTATGCCATAGTATTACGCCTGACAGTCACTACACATGAAAACTTCATATTGAGACCTTGTCATTATTAATTACTGTGATTATATATATATATTTTCAGTGAATATTGACCTAAGCAAGACAAAAAATAATATCGTAGACCACACTTCTAGATAATCTTTCCACAAATACCGTTGTTACTGGTTATTGGGTTCCAAGACCATGCCTAAGGACCCAAAGCACAAAATCATTTGCAGCAACACTGGGAGTTTGGTAGGTATGTACTATTGTGGTAATTTAAAACATAAACCTAGCATACAGTCACGTGAAATTCGGCCTATTATCGGAAGGAGGTCTAATGATTTCTAAGTGGAAAGAAAGAAAGAAAGAAGACACAGTGTGAAGTGTAACGGGAATGGATACTTTATTTATAAACGAGGCAGAATAAAATAAAAGTCAGTGGACCATCAGGTGGAAATCATTATTGCACAGTTGTTGTTGTTGAGGTTTTAAGTAAAGTGAAATAAACAGAATAAAGTGCCTGTAAACTACAATATAAATACATAAATATTGTACTTAACAAACGACAAATATGAATAAATCTTATTAAAAAAAAGAAAATAATCCACACACACGATCAGCAATCACTAGGAGAAAACGCCAAACTGTTCTCACTATCTACAGCATCTCTTGTACTTGACCAATAAAAAATGTACACCGTCCCACCATCCCAAAAATAATAGATAACTTCTGTGATGGGACCTTGTTACACCTAGGACTCAATTTAACACATGATCTGAACTGAATTTGAAATATTCCAAATTAGAACTTAAAAAACATTAAAAATATTTTGCATGTATGAAATATGTATTCTAGGACAGTGATATATGTATACTACAATTCTTTTCTTCCTTATTTGAAGCTTGACTTAAGCCAGTCTTAACTTAAGTTTAACACCAGTTTCGAAGTTACAGTGCTATCCAGTGAAATTATAACAAAACGATACAGGATGCACAATACATTAACACATCAAATGAGCCATTTCCAAAGTGAGACTCACAGATATGACAAACATCCTCACTATCACACAAACCACTAATTAAACGTGTAATAAACAACAATGCAAATTCACAAAGGAAAACTCTTTAGGAATACATAACCACATACATGACAAATTTAAAATATTACATAATAAACACTACAAAAGAAAAACCCTTAAGTAAAATTAAATAAATGAAACACTTCAAATCATTAAGAAAATCACTTTAGATCTCTCTCTGAATATGTGTGTGTCCGACTTTTACACCTTTTTTACTGGTCGCAACCAAACTTGGCATCTTTGTCATAGTTAGTAGCCTATACAATTACCCAAGTCTAATTATTAATTAGTAAGTCATTTTCTTTATATAACTAAATACTAATTACTAACTTATTTTTATCCTACGTTTTAGCTGCTAATCTGCTGTTATCTTCAGGAAAGTCCTGAGGACTATTTCTGTGTTGGTAGCCGTCGGGTCTCGATCCTTTTGTATGCCATGCGAACACTGAATTTCATTGTTTGATGGATTAAGTCCCTATAGTACAAGATAAGGTTTAATCCAGTTAACTATAAGCAATTTACATGTTACTGAAGTATACCATAACACACCCACTCTCCTCACTTAAAATTATGTTCCTTTATGCTTTGTCGTATGTCCTCTTCTGGCTCTTAGCCGCTTTCTACATGTGTGGAAGAGCAAACTCACACGCATCAACTAATATTGGCTGTTACTATCCCACATATTGTTTCAGACATTCCAACAGCACCACAACTGATTGGGGAAAATGAAATCTGTTATAAGTATAATTTCTTCTCTGAACATTGACATGTTAATTTTTCTATATGTTCACCATAATTACAAACCAAAAACTGGAATATATGTTAGTCTTGGAGAGATAACTGTTGAAGCAACACAGATTTTTTTTCTCCCTCTTTTAAAAGAAAACTGTAAATCCTAGGCATCAGATCAACCACAACATTAGCTGACGAAGCAGCTTGAGACTGTTTTCGCAGAACCTCATGAAACTGTGTGTTAGATGGAACTGTAATGCATTCATTCGTATACATTAGTACGCCCCCCAGTGGCACAGCAGTATGTCTGCAGACGTACAACGCTAGAATCCGGGTTTCGATACCCGTGGTGGGCAGAGCACAGATAGCCCATTGTGTAGCTTTGTGCTTAATTAAAAACAAACTAACAAACAATACATTAGTACTGTTCAACGTCCTTGTTCATATTTTGATCGGCATGTTATGGTGTCAACACAGAGCTACAGTTCCCATGACATATAGGCTATGCTTGTACGTAACTTCTATAGGATATCTATACTTAAAATGCAAGTTCTCGGGCCTAAATCTGTAATAATCACTCTTGCATTTTTAATAATGGCACCAACAGTGATGTGGAGTGAAGCTTCATTAACTGAAATCATATCACTACCGGCAAAGAAAAGATCTGTATTTAGGTGCTAAAGTGATGGTTTACATGGTAGTGACTGATTTAATGCAAACCATGCTTGGCTCTGTAGATGTTGAGCCAACTTTCATACCAATAAAGAAACAGAAATATAGTTGTTCTCTACCAGAGTGATGGTCAAATCTGATTTAGGGTTCTTTTCTTTTTAAACATTCACTGTTAGCTCTCTCGCTTGAACTTATAGTCTACCTCTTCATCACTTTAAAGTGTAGACTCCTTGTAGACACATGGAAAGACATCTACGCCACTAATGGCCAATCTGTACACAGTTGTAGCAAGTATTTCTCCTCCCATGCTATTTCAATAGATCAGAAGATCTCTCCGTCTACAACATTATCACATTTGGAAGTGATAATTCAGGATATCTCTCCCACTCTATTGAGAACCATGTAGGCTGAACTGAGTCACTTTATTATGTTGTGGAGGTAACGCCATCTGTTGCGCTCTTTTATAACATGAGATCAACTCACACGGAGCTAAATCTCTGGCAAGTCATTGCAGCTCTCCAAGTTAGTTGAGGTTACCACCTAATACTTTGTTGCATGGATTAACTTAGAAGTCCCTTCACAAATTCATCAACCAGAATATTTTTTTGGTTGGCTACCACGATGCTGAGGTACACCTTTCAGCGCAAGTACTATAACCAACTGGCATAAACAACTAAGGTATTTTATGGTATCTAAGGTAATAGAAAATGCTGCACTATTTTATAATAGGCCCACTTCACAATGGTTCGAATGATTAGAAGAAATAGTCAGCAATATAATCTTTTTTTTTTAAAAAAAAAGATACGCCGAATACTTTCATCAAAATGATAACAGAGAGTCTTTAAAATCTTTAAATGAAAATTGTGTTATAACACTAGCAGATAAAGCAGCCAATAACTTTGTTTTTACTTTTAAAATATTCAGTATTATTACAAGTTGGAAGGAACTCGGTTATAATATTCAATTAATGTTGTTTATATTTATATTACCACCAATGTGAACTATAATATGAAACAACTAAATAAAATTTTAACAGAAAAAACGAGCATAAGCTCCAGAACAATATTATATTTATTTAACTCAGTTTTCTAGACATTCGTCTTGAGTATTCGCAAAGTAAACTTATAAAAAGTGTAAACAAAAAGCCCTCTTGTAGATCAGTTGTCCTACACTCAGATTTACACCACCCTATTCATATGAAAAATGCAGATATCATAGAACAAGTAATAAAGACCAACCAAATTTGTAGTTCTAAAGAAAGCAAACTTTACATTATTCCAGCTTAGTTTGTTTACTTTTTAGAGTCCCTAGTTGTAAGCTTGAAAATATAATCCTTACATTTTGATTCAACTTATTTTTGTACTTTTTGACGATCCCTATTTCCCTTTTTTAAATTAAGAATCTTTAACTATTTTGTTTCTTAAGTTTTTATTTCCATTTATGGAGAATAAATATTAAGCTACATACATATGCATTCAGTTGAATATTACATGATTTTCAACAGTTTACTGCTGCATTGGCTTTTTTCCCGTCTAACTATTATTTATTGAGCCAGGTGATTTTTTTCCTGAGGTGTCGTGTAAACACGCCTTTAACAAGCGAAGTACGAAAATCAGTAGAGTAGATTACCACTCACAAAAGTAGAGAAATCTACTATGGTAGTCATCTAATGTTAGATAACTCACTGAAATAGTCGCAGAAAACCAGGTAGAAACAAAGTACAACAGCGAAATAGAGAAACAATGAAGAACAGCGAACTCAAAAAATAATGAATCCTCAATGTGGCAGTTTCCAATTAATGCGCTATTAGTTGCACAAATTATTTTTTAATTAAAGCGCATCAGTAAAACACCGGATTTTTTCAATGGCAGAAAGTGAAGGACTTAGAGAAATGGCGAAAAAACGAAGGGCTTGAATTAATTTTAAAACTACCATATGACATGCTCAATACTGCATTCATTACTCTTGTCCAAGGTTCAGTAAAATATTCGTAGCCATTTTTTCTGTAGAGGCTTGTAAACCTATAATCAATAATAATG